GGCTGTTCCCGGCTGAAAGCCCTGTGTGGGTAGCTCGCTGCTCAGAGTGGCCCCTGACTTGGTGTGGAGGCCTGGCCTGACCCCCCTGGCCCCTCAGCCTTCACCTCCTGGCCCCCTCGGTCTCCCTCCCTAGCCCCAGCCTCACCAGCCTGGGATGTACTCGAGTCTCCCTGCCCCAGGACCTTTGCACGCACACGCCCCCGCCTCCCATTCTAGCTCTGACTCCTCGGGCTGACTTGTCTTCCGGGTCTCGTCGCAGATGTCCCCCTCCTCAGGGGGACCCTCCCTGTCCCCCCAGGCTCTCTGTGCCTCATCTGTGAGCCGTTTCCCTCCGGAGCGCCAGGGTCATCTGCCCTCCTTTCACTTCCTCGTTCCTGTCGTTAGAGCCTCTCTTCCCAGGTGACACTTTGCAAAACCAGGGTGGCGGTCAGCCTGTCGGCTTCCGCTGGCTGTCAAGAGCAACCTGAGGCTCACTGGTCGGGATGAGATGCCTATATTCCATGAATGAATGAATGAACAAGTGAAGTCACTCCTGCAGGTGACGGGTGCCCAGGGGGGGCTGGAAACCTGGGCAGTGAGCCCATCATTCAGGGCCTGTCCAGAGCTGGCCCCACCCACCTGTGGTCACGCCCACAGTGGGCTCCCCAGGCCTGACCCCTCCGGACCTTCCCCCTCCATCTGGAGGGTCCACTGAACTCCCACTGCTGAGCTGCCCCCTCCACAACCTCCCACTCCCCCACAAAGAACTCTGCCCGAGTCAACATTTCCTCTCGGTCCTGGAAACACCACCTCTCACCTCATCGGTCCCTCAGGGTCCACCCCGAGGCCCTTGCTGTGCTCTCAAGGGTCAGCGCCACCCCCCGGCCCCTCCTGGATGGACCACACTCAGCACCCCGTGGGAACGCCCTGGGAAGGCCGGCGCCAGGGCCCCCAGCCCAGGGGTGCCGCCCTGTGGGGCGGGTGGGAACCAGGAACCGGCACCCAGCCGCCCCCTCCCCAGGCTGATCTTGGCGACCCCGTTCTGCTCCTCAGAGACCCGGGACAGGAGAGGAGCAGTTCCTGGCCTCGGCCCTGGGCAGGGCCTGAGGTCCCCTCGGCCACCCGGTCCAGCGGTCAGGGGCCGGCCCCGGAGTGGCCTCAGCAGGCCGAGCCCTCTCCCAGGCTGTGAGCTGCAGGCAAGCGGGCGCCCTCTCTGAGCCTGGTTTCTGGTCTGCACCAACCTCACACCTGGGCAGACGTGAGGAGCTTGGTTTGTGGCCTGTTCCCTCCACTGAACGGGCCCTGTCCCTCCTGCCCCTGCGCCCAGGCCAGGGGGTCCTATCTCCTCCCCACACCGAGGTGGCTCAGGAAGCCATCACAGCAAGCCTGCGTCTCGGGGAGGACCAGGGTGCCCTGGGAACTCGGCAGTCCCCTCACCCACTTCCCTCTGGCCCCCGCCGCCCAGGGCTCCCACCAGGACTCAGGCGTGCGGACTTGGAATCCCCATGACAGTGGGGGGGCTGCGGGCAGGGTGTCTACAGAGACCCAGGTGTCCGTCCTCGTGCTGACGTGGTGGCCGAGGTTCCCCTTGGAGCCACCGGGGTACGCATTGATTTTCTGGCTGACTCTGGCTCCAGACTGGGGACATCTAAGGGCATTGCCGAGGGCTGGCCATGGCGGCACCGGCGGCCACAGGGTTTCTGCCCGGGGTGCAGGGCTGCCCTGCCACCTCCGGCCCTCTCCCCCTCTCCGAGGGCGACACTCAGGGCCCAGACCAAACTCCGCTCGTCCCTGGACCCCGAACGTCAACCCCAGGCTCAGTGCCTGTGCCCCTGCGGTGCCCCCTCCCCCCTCTGCCCACCTGTGCCTCCCCCTCAAAGCCGCCCTCTCTGGCCCCCACCGTCTTCCCCCGGACACCTCGGCAGCCACCCCACTGACCTCCGCTCTTGCCTCTCTGTCCGTTCTCCACTCAGCACCCAGGGGACGGGGAGATGCCACCCCAGTCCGGCCACACTCTCCCCCTCCGTGACCCTCAGTGATGGGGAGTCACTGCCCCGTGAACGTGGCTTTCAGGCCAGTTGGGCCCCAGCCTCCCCTCGTCTCCCCACCCCCTGCCGGGCTCTGCAGGCCCAACAGGACTGCTGCCCCTGGGTCCTGGCACCCTCAGCCCTGCCCTGGCCTCTGAGCCTCTGCACAATGCTGTTCCCCCACCATGGGTGCCCTTCCCGCTTCTTTCATGGCTTCTGGCCTTGGCTCCGTTGTCCCTCTTCCAGGCAGGAGGCTCCTGCGTCTCTGCCCTGAGAGTCCCGGCTCCCCCAGAGGCGCCATCTAATGGCCGTGTGTGGCCCTGCAACTGGCCCTCGGCGGCTCCGTAGTTTCCGTTGGAGACAGCGGTGCTCAGTGGACGTGGGACTGGGTGACAAGGGGTGTGACTGTTCCCGGGACAGAACGATGCGGGGGAGTCCGACGCCCCAGCCCGGTCCTCGTAGGCACACTCCACCCCTGCTGAGGCCCCTCCCCTCCACGCCAGCTGTTGTTAAAGGGTCTCGGGCCTGCCCTGGGGGACGACCCCTCAAGGGGTGTGCATGTCCCCAATATTCCCCACCCGCCCCACCCACCGTATCGTGGGGACCTGGCCGTCGGCCTGGGGTCCCCCTCTGTCTGCATCTCAGGCCTGTGCCACACTGGGCTCAGAGGGGCTCAGGGGCTCAGGGTTCGAACCCGCTCTGCCGCTTGCGGGCTTGGGGTCCCTCCCGGGCAAGGAGCCGGCCCCCCCGAGCCTCCGTGGCCCTCGCCCCGAAAGTGGAGATTGTGACAGACTGTACCGCCCAGGTGGGGACCGCGTGAGGTGGGCGGATGCTGAGCACGCGGGCTGTGCCAGACACGGAGTAACCGCCCAGCAAACACGAACACTATTTATTTAAACCACACCTCCGTCTGTCACACCTCTGCTTCCTTACACATGTGCACACCTGGTGCGTCTCCTGCCGCCAGGTGCGCTGTGGGTGCGCTGCGGGCCGGCAGCGGCTCCCAGGGCGCCGAGGAGACCCCGGCCCTCCGTCCAGGGCTCGGGCACCTCCGGGGCTGCCCAGCTTCGGCGCACCGGTCCCGGCTTCTCTGCTAACCGCCTCTCGCCCCACACCCACCGCGGCCTGGCCTGGAAGGGGCGTCAGGCAGTGCTGACCCCTGCCCCTCGAGCTGACTCCCTCCCCTCCCCTTGCCTCGGGCAGGTCACGAAACACACCCACCGTGGTGATCACAGCCGGTCTGCTCTCTGGACCGAGCCCAGCTGGACCGGGCCCCCTGTGGCCTGGAGAAGCCATCGTAGCCGTGGCCCCGTCGCAGACAATGATTAATAAGCGACCCAGGCTGGATCTCTTCCTGGAACGCTGGTTTTGGATCAGCTGGGGGCGGTGTCCGCCCCCCCAGGCTGTGCCCCCCCCCAACCCCACACCGGCTCAACACTCCGGTCAAGAAAAGCAAGGTCTGCACAGTCCTGCCTGAGCAGCGCAGGCGAGTACAGGGGACCCTGCAGGGACCGCCAGCCCCGCCCCGACACCCCACGCTCCGCAGCACCTGCAGGAACCGCAGAACCCCGCAAAGTCCCTCGGCTTGTGGGGCGGGCAGGGCCTGGGGTGCCCGCTTTGCCCCTGGGCCAGGAGGCATTGCTGTGCTTTCCTCGCTCCTTGGCTGGTTTTGAACCTGGAGGTAGTTCTGGGTGGGGGGGCTGCAAGCTCACAAGCTGGGAGCCCCATGGGCCAGAGACTCAGGGAGGGGGCTTCTCCGCTCAGACGCCCTCCCTGGACAGAGCAGCTCTGAGCTGCAGCTCCGGCCCCAGAGCCAGGCCCAGCAGAACGCAGCCCTGTCTGAGCGTGCGGGCCCTGCAGGGGGCAGGGGGCAGGGGGCAGGGGCAGGCGCGGCCCACTGTGCTCCAGGCAGGTGCCTCTCCACACCCCCCCCTCCACCACGTCCTCCCAGCAGCCCCAGGGGCAGTCATCATGTTCAAGCTTTGTGTGTGACCGTGGAGACCAGCTGTCGTCTTCCCCTGAGCCCCGGGGGCTCTGCAGCCAGGGCAGCAGGACCGAGGCCCTCCCACAGCAGGGAGGGGGGTCTCAGACCACGGAGCTGGAAACCCAGCGTCTCTGGGCAGAGCTGCCCGACACCAGGATCCCTGCGCCCGTCACAGGCCACGGGGCTGGACTTCGGAGCCCGAGTGCCACCGTCAGCACAGCCCGTGACCCCCGCTCCCCTGTGCACCCCCCGCCCACCCTGCAAGGTTGCACAATTCAGCTTTGTCCTGTGAGGTGGCTGCCCCCCCCCGCCCCGGGAGTGCCTTGCTTTTGAAGGTGAAAGGTCAGTTGCAAGGCGGCAGCTCTATCAGACATGTGCCAGCCCCTCATCTTCAGGAGGACCCCGACCCAGCCCACCCCCTGGCTTCACCCCCCGGTGCCCCCCCACTCCAGACCTATACCCACTTGCTGGCTGGAGCCGCCAACCAAACCTAGGGGTCATCTTTCGTTCCCCTGGACCTCACCACCAACACCCCATCCATCTCCAAATCTGGGGGTTCGACCCCCAGGCTTGAATCTGCTGCCTTCTTCCCACCCCCACGGCCCCACCTCTCCGCTGGAGCCCCTGCCCCTGGGACGGAGACCCACTCTGCCGCCCCCACCGCCCCTGCATGACAGCCACAGGGAACCTTTGCAAGCCAGCCACTCACGCACACCGGTGGCTCTCGGAGGGGCCCCCGGGGGCAGACACTGAGCCCCACGCCGCCTTCAAACCCGGGCCAGACGCAAACATCGGCTGTGCCTCGGGGCGGGGCGCTAACGCAGGCCCGGGGCCCAGGCTCTTCGGCCCGGTCCTGACCCTGCCGCCGCCTCCCCTGTGTCCTTCACCACGTGTCTCAACTTCTCTGTGAAACGGGAGCAAAGACAGTACGTCCTTCCCAGGGTTCTCGTGAGGACCAACTGAACTGACACTGTTTCAGGTGGGGCTCTCCCAGGAGCGGGGACGGGTAAGAATGGCCCAGGCAGTCCTGGGTGGAGGGGGGCTGGGTAGGGGGCCCTCGGGGGCAGCTGGAGCTCTGAGGGCCAGCATGGGGCACACCACCTGTGGCCCTGAGAGACCGAGGTCACTCTGGCCAGAGGGCAGGTACTGAGGGGTTTCCCCACCACCCAGGCGGCCATGGGCTGAGACCTGCACCCCCAGGGGCTGTGGGGTGCAAACAGCCTGCACACAGGGGGAAGAGAAGCTCGGGGGGTCGGAGGGAGCCCTCCCGCCCCCGGGGTCACGGGAGGTGGCTGGGCACCACCGGGAGAATGTCAAGGATGCGTGAGTAGCAGCGAAAACATCAGCCACAGGAGCAAATCAGGGCGGACCTGTGTCCCTCCTGCTCCCCTCCCAGACTCCCGGCTGTCCTCCCGTTCCTCTTCGCACTGGCTGTTCCCTCTGCCCCCGAGCCCTTCCCACCCCTCTGTGGGCCTCACTCCCTGCTCAGGGAGCGCTTGCCTCTCTCCCCGCCTCCAGCCAGCCTGCTCCCGCTCACTCCCGGCCAGGTGTGTCCGATCGGAAATCTTCTGTTTCCCCCGTTGACTGGTGCACGGTCTGTCTCTCCCAAGGAGTCTGCTTCACCCGAGGATCCCAGAAGCTGTGGTGTCATCCTCTGGTCCTCAGCCTCTAGCAAGCATAGAGTGGTATTCATTGAATGAATGAGTGAATGAGTGAGTGAATGAATGAATGGCTAAAAGTACTTGGCCAAAGGTCACAGAAACAGCAATGTTATCTAAGAACTCTGGCTCCTGAGTTCAAACCCCAGCCCTCACCTGTGCCTTCCTCCTGACCGTAAATGCTTCGCCTCCCTCCTGCACCACTAGTAGCCCCCACACCTTGGGAGCCGGAAGACTTCCCCTCAACACTGTAGGCGAGAACTCCTTCTAACTGAAGGGTCCCATGAAACCACTTGATCTGGGAACAGCCTGGACAGAACAAACAGTGTCAGCTTCTTCCTCCACCCTGAGCATTGGCTAACCTCAGTGTGGTGCATAGAACAGAGAAGCCAGGGTAACAGCAGAAGTCACCAGAGTCCACGTGCCTTCTATCTCGTTGCCCCTCCATCCTCAACACAGAGCTTCTACCTCATAGCCCAAAGTGGCTGCTTGTGCTCCAGCCATCATGTCCCCAATCCAGACATCAGAAAAGAGATTGGGGCAAGGAAGAATTTGCTTTCTCCCTGTAAATGCCACACACAAGACTTCCACTTACATCTCATCGGCCAGCACATGGTCCACATCCATGGGCCCAGAGGCTAAAAATCAGAGGCCTCATTGCTGAAGAATATGGAAAGAATGAATGGTATGAATCAGTGGGAAGCTCTGTTATTCTTCAGTTCATTTCGTTATGTGCCAGGCACTGGTGACACTCAGGGGACAAGATGGAGAAAGCCCCGGTTGACTACCTACCGGGCCCGCCTTCCGGGGGGGAGAACAAGAGAACATGCACACAGGTGTCCGTTGGGCACAGCCCTGGAAAGAGCACCACAGTGGAGAAAAGAGCTGTGGGGTGAGGGGTTAACCCTGCCCCCCACCCACCAGGCAGACTGGGGGGCCTTTCTGAGGAGGTGACACTTGGGCAGAGGCCTGAGGGGTGACAGGAAGCCACTCATCTTCCCAAGAACCAGGACGTGGCTTGTACCCCTCAGCTCGGCCTCTGCCAGCCCCGGACCCCGGATCAAGTCCCTGTCCCCTGCTGAGCCGAGCCCGTTTCCCCACCAATGAGGTCTGAGCTGCGGCCACCGCCTCAGTGGGTGGTGGCTGGGGAGGGCGTGACTGCTCACAGAACAGGGTCTCCACGAGGAAACTGAGGCTCAGGGGGTCTGAGAATTTGCTCCACACCTGTGGTTCTCAAGGGAGGGAAGGTTTTGTCCCTTCCCCAAACCAGGGCACCCATGTCCATGTCGGGGGGCATTGCTGGTTGTCACACCTGGGGAGGGGTCTGGGGTTAACGGCATCCGGCGCGTGGAGGCCAGGGATGCTGCTAGAAACATCCTTCGAAAACACCCAGAGCAGCCCCCACCGCAGAGACGCCAGCCCCAGAGGGCGGCGTGCCCCAGCCGAGCCCTGGACCCCCGTGCAGCCGGGGGCGGGGGTCAGGGTCCTGGTCTAAATGCAGGGCCACCTGCCCCGGGGCCCCCACCCTTCAACCTCTCCAAGCTTCTCAGGACCCCCGCCCCAGACCCCTTCCGTGCACCCGGACGACAGTGTCACGGTGTCTGCTGTCTTCACAGACACCCACGATGACTCAGACATTCGGTGAAGTTCAAGGAGAACTAAACTTTATGCTCATAAAGTGCCAGGCACGTAGGTGCCACCCCCACACCAAAATCCATTACAGGTTTAAAGTACAGCTATTATTTTTACAGCATTGCTTAGAAATGGCTTGCAATCTCTAATTTGCTAAATTGATGTGTATATTGACTAAATAAATATTCGGCATGAAGCCCAAGTCCCCCTCCACACTTATTAATCCTCAGGAAATGGAGACGCAAGACGCGAAATGAGCTTTCGCTCGGGGCTGCAGACAGGAATACATTACGCTGTTTTCCAGGCGTGTGGGGACGCAGCTCTGCTGCAGAGGCGGCTCAGCCACCAGCCTCCAAGTTTTCCATGACGCACTCGTCTGCCCGCTGACGTGCCTGGGTTGCTAAGGCTCTTCCTCGGACTTTGGAAGTCTAGGGAGAGAAACTTTTCACTCCACTGGGGAGGGGGAGGGGATGGCCGGGGTGCCTGCCTTTTGGGGAGCCGATGTGGGGGCTCGGTGGGTGCACCAATGTTCGTAAAAAAAAATCCGGGGGGCTGGCAGGTCCGGCGGGGCGACCACCCGGGGCGATTCCCCTGCTCCCAGACCTGCAGCTGTTGGTGGTCCTTGCAGCCCTGGGACAAAGGCAGGGGAGGTGGGGGGACGTGTCCACTGGCCACAGCCCCCCCAGGGGGGTGCAGAGGGGTGCAGGTCCTGTGCACAGAGGTTGTTGGGGGGCTTCCTCCCCTCGGGGGCTCTGACTTCAGGGACATGGAGGAGTCCTGGGGTCCAGCCTTGTCCTGGGACAGAGAGGGGGACCCCACACACATGGGGGGGCCCAGGGGGGAGGCGGTCACTCATGTATTGACTTCTAAAGGGTCCCCGTCCCTCGGGACAGAGGATTTAGGAGAGAATGCCCCTTGTAGGAGTGGGGCATGGGGGTGGGAACATCTGCCCCCCGCCCTGGAGGACCCGGCCCTGCAGGGAGGGTGTGGACCCCAGGAGGGGGGAGTCAGGGAGCCCGGCGCAGTGCCCCCGACCAGGGAGATGTCCGACCCCTCAGGGCTCCCCCTGATCCCCGGGGAGAGGTGGGTGCCCCCAGCCACAGACTGAGGGGCCCGGGGTGTTCCGGCGCCCTCAGTGTCCTGGTCTGCGGCCCCTGAGGCCCCTGAGGCCCCTGATGGGACCCCCCCTCGGCGACCACAGCCAGCACCTGCCCCGGGCAAGCGAACTCCCCACTGCCAAGGGCAGCCTCGGCTCCTCCCGTGGGGCCCACCCCTACCGGCCGGTGGGATGGTGGCGGGTCCGAGGGGCCATGCTGCAACCTTGGCATCCCCCAGGCCTCCTGCTCGTGGGTCCACGGGGCCCCAAGGTGGGTGGCTACAGAGGACGCAGGGGCGAGGGAGGAGAAAACACGGACATTTCCAAGTGAGCTCCCTCGTCTCGGCCCCTTGCCCCGCAGCAGCCAATGTAAAGGCCCCGGGGTGAGAGGCCTGACCCCAGCCAGCGGGTGGGACTGCAGCCCGAGACGAGGGCGGCAGCAGCGGCCGGGGCGGGGGGTCCCGCGGGGCCTGTGGCCACGCACAGGAGAGGTCTGCCTTGTCCCCTGAGTGAGTGCAGTGGCAGCCCCGGGAGGGTCTGGGGAAGTGCCCCCACGGCCCCAAGGTCCATCAGTCCCCCACGTGGGAATGGGACACGCCCAGGAAGTCCAGCTTGGGCACTCGCCGCAGCCCCATCCTGATTGGGCAGAACTGGAAACAGAGCAGGGGGTCACAGGAGGTGACACTTCCAGTGGGGGCCGCAGAACCCCAGAATGAACCCATGCCTCTCGGTCTCTCGCAGGTAAGGCACAGCTACCCTTAGTGACAGCGAGACTGGTGGTGGCCGGGGCTGGGGAGGTGGGGGTCCCTGGAGAAGGGCTCGGGGACCTCTCAGGGTGGTGATGGAATGTTCTAGACCTTCACCTGGGGAGTGACTCAGAGGCGCCCAAACTCATACCGCTTTCCACGGAGGACCCGTGTGTGCCTAGCCGCCCATTCCGCCTACATAAAAAGTGTCTTTAGAACGGGGTCTGCAGGGGGGCTTGGGGTCCACGACCACCTCCCCTCTCCTCTCTCTCTGGGGCTGCCCAAGTTTCCCAAGCCAGAGCGGGAGGAGCCCGGTTCCGGGGGCCAGGGGCTCCTGAGGCCACCGCGCTCGGCTTCCTGCGTCGGATCCATCTTGTTGTTGCCGGCGCTGGAGAACGGCTCCCGAGGCAGAATCTTGAATATTCATCTGATTTACGGCTGGCTGCCGACAGCTTTATGAATCCACCCACCAATACCTGCAGCCGGTCATCAATCTTCCCTGGAGACTGCGCTTCTGCCAGTAACTCATGAATTAAAGAGGCCCCCGCGGCCCCGCGGCCCCCGCACCTGCCCTCCCCTCGTGGCGCGTCGTGACGACCAGGAGCCAAAGCGCTGCTGCTGGCCGCCGCCGCCGCCGCCGCCGCCGCGGCTCTGCTGACCTGGGATGACTCCCTCAGGCTGTCTGCAGCGGGGAAGAGGAGCTCAGAAAATCGGCCCCCTTCCCGGCTCTGAGCCTCAGTTTCCCCGTCTGCAGGGAACGCAGCGCCACCCGTGTGTGTGTGACCCGGGTGGGAGGCAGGGTGGGGGGCCGGTGAGCCCCGGGACCCCGCTCCGGGGACGTGGGATGCCGGAGAGGACAGCAGCGCCCCTGGCCAGGGCCCTCGGGCTCTCGTGCGCGAGGAGGGAAGACAGCAGGTTCCCCTCCAGGGCCTGCTGGAGGAACTGAGGGGGGGGCGTCCGGCCCCCGGTGGGCACCCAACCGATCAGGAGGAGCAGATGGTGGGGTTGTCACGCAGGAGGGCACACATGTCGCGGCTCAGCTCCGGGCTGGGGAAGCAGCTCCAGAGTGCCGGCAGAGCCCACCCCGGGCAGGGGCCCCTGGATGAAAATCTACTGTCTGGAGCCCCCCCTCGCACATCTGGCCCCCCCACAGCCCCCCAGAGCCTGCCTTAGGGGTCACACTCAGCAAATGGCCCCTGGGGTGGACCAACCCTTCGCCAGCCAGGAAGTCGTGGGCAGTCTCTGCAGAAGGCCGTGCCGGGCTCCGTCCGGTCAGCGGGGGGCTGCACCCCGACCCCCTGGGGGTCAGATCCCGCTCTGCCCCTCAGCATCCAGCGATGCTGGCGAGTCACTCCCCCCTGAACCCCATGAGCTGGACGGGAGAGTCACCACTGGCTCAGAGGGTACACGGGGCTCAGAGAGACAGCCTGTTTTGAGTGCCTCCCCTGGCCCCTGGCGGATCTCAGGGGCGGCAGCTCCCTGCGGTTTCTCAATGCCGGCTGGACACCGGGCAGCGTGCCCGCTACGGGGTGAGGTTGGGGTCTTTGGTGCTCCGCAACGGGCCACTCCGCATGTGACCATCGGTCCCTTCAGATCACAGCAACTCACCCCCAAGGACGCCGAGGGGTGCCCCCTCTCCAAGTCCCAGCTCCCACCAGCCTCCACACGGTGGCGGCCTCTCCCGGGACACAGGAGCCACCAGCCTCCAGGGTGCCCTGCCCAGACCCTGTCCAGGGTGCCGCCCAGGTGGGCCCCTGGGCCTCTGCCGGTGGCGCTGCAGCCCCAGCCCCGCAGGGCTCTCTTGACCGCCAGCCCGCCCAGGTCTCCAGGGCCCCGGGACACCCCAGGTCCCAAAGGGTGCTGCCCACTGTGGCCCATGCGTGTGCAGAGCAGCCCCTGAGAGCAGGCCGTGCTGCTGTCCCCTCGTACAGAGCAGGAGGGGGCAGGCACCAAGAGCTGAGGTGACTTGCCCAAGGTCACACGGCGCAGCAGGGGCTGCCTGACGCCAGGGCCCACTGCCTCTGGCTCCAGCTTTGCTCTGCGCCCCTTCCGTGTGCACCGTGGTATCAGGGTTCAGAGGAGGCACCCCTCGTTGGAAATGAGGTGCACGGCCTGGGGAGTCTCCTGGCCACTCTGAACCTCAGCCTCCTCCTCTGCAGGATGAGAACGGTGGGCCCACTCCCAGCCGGGACATCGGCTGCACTGCGTATGAAGAGGTACCTAGAGCCCAGAGCCCCACGCACAGAGCAGGGCCTTGGGGGGCTCTCAGCAAGCACCCCCTCTCCTTCCCCGATGGCCTGTGTGTCAGGAGCGGGGGGTTGAGGAGTCCAAAACCAGCAGCCCAGTTCTGGGGGAGAAGGGACCTTGGAAGGAGGCGGAAGGAGGTGAAAGGGGAGGCGGAGGCCAAGGCCGGGGCGCCAGCTTGCCTACTGGGCATTCCCTGGAAGGGGTGGAGGCGGCGGGCCAAAGCTCACTGGGGGAAAAGCCATGGCTTCTGGGAATGGAGCCTCCCGGGCGCTCAGCCTCTGTGGCTCAGGCTCCGGCCCCTGGACTTTCCACCTTGGCACCGGCCCCGTGACCATGCTGGCAGTATCTGCCCTGGGCGGGGGCCCAGTGCACGGGGGGTGGGGGGGTGTGAATGAATGTATGTCGGGGCACGGGGTGAGGGGCAGGAGGTCAGCGCCAGCGCGGCCTCTGGAGTCCCGGATGTAGACCTCCCGCTGCGACTCCCCCTCCCCCTCTGTCTCCACGCTGCTTCCCCGTGTGCCCACGGGCTGAAACACCAGTGCATGGATGGCCCCGAGCCCACGGCCCCCCTCCTCTGGGGGTGTCCACCTGGGGTGGAGACAAGGGTGGACATGCCAGCTCCCACCCCAGTGAGCGCCGAGAACTCCCCCGCCCCCACCTCGTCCGTGGAGGGCGAGGGGGCGCAGCTGACTCCCGAGCCCCAGCACCGAGAGGAGGAAGTCAAGAGATGTCTGCCGCCTGGCGTTCCGTAGTGGGGGCTCCGTGCAGGGCGGGGACCTGGGTGGGCCGACGGGTGAAGGGGTGGGCGGGCGGATGAACGGGCGCGGGAGCAGGTGCCCCGCTGGGGAAATGGAGGCAGAGGGACAGGCGACTAGCGACCGTGCACTCATCCACCATCTGTCCGTTGACCCCCTCCGTCCGTCTGTCCATCCGTGTACCCCTGCACGCACAGGCACACGCGTGTGGCCAGGCAGCTAGAGAGCGGGGTGGGCCGTGGGACGGAGAGGTGCACGGGCAGATGAACCCATGAATGGGCCCATAGACCACGGGTGGGTGGACGGATGCCCCTGCGGATGAACGGACAGATGGAGGGCGAGGTGGCTGAGGCCACAGGCCGGACGCTGCATTGCTTCCCTCCTGGGAAGGTGGCGGACAGCAATTGCTTCGGCCCCTGCCGGGCACCGCGGACATCAGCGCGGCCGCAGGGGGCCGGGACACTGCACCTTCGCAAGCTGCGCGGCCACTGACTCACAGGCTCTCTGCCTCCTCGCAAACCTCCGGCGGGGGCGGGGTGGGGGGGGCAGCGTGACATTTCAGATTGCCTCGCAGCAATCGCCGGCTCGGCCTTTAGCAGCGAGGGGCGCTCGGCCGCTCGCCGGCTGGCATTCTCCTCGGGAGGTGTTTGCAGACCCCCCGCGGGCAGGAAGGGGCCCGCTCTCCCGGGGTGTGAGGGGGCATCGTGCTCTGAAACGTTGGGGACCCCTCCCCCCCGGCTGCCTGGCCACCTTCTCTCTCTGCAGCAGGCCCAGCTATTACCTCCATCACCCTTCGCTGGGCGGGGGGGGGGGGAGGGGGCGTTTAATTGACAATGTGGTGGCGAAGGAGGGTTGGAGAACTGGCGTTTCCCTGGCAACCAAGTTTCTCAACACAAGATGCTCTGGGTTTTAAAAGCCACTTCTCGTCGAATTTCTCCCCTGAACATTAGCTCAGAACTTTCCCGACACCGAAGTTTTTAGCACGCACAGCAGCAGGCTAGTTCTTTCGTCTGACGCCATAAAAGCTGCAGATTTGTCCCCTGCGAGACCCTGGGACGTCGTTTGGTTTCCTCTGCCATCTTGTCCCCGGCCCATCCGCTGGGACCGCAGTGACCGCTGGGGAACCGCTGGGGACGTTTGTCAGCTGTGGTCGGCCTCAGGTCCCGTGCCCCTGACCCCAGCCTGCTGTCTGGACTCGACCCTGCCCTGCCTGCTGGCTGAGCTCTTCCGAGACCCTGGGCCAGCCAGCCGGTCTGGGCCTGTCCTCACTGTCAGCTCTGGGCCCCTCCCCCTGGGCTGAGGAGGACCGTGCCAGCCTGCACCCCCAAAACAGAGGGCATACACTTCCAGGGCCTGCTCTTTGGCAGAGTTGGGTGCTTCCATCACCCACCAACTCCCCGTCTCCCTGGGCCCACAGCATGGGTCCCAGCGGAGTTATCTGGCCTGACTTTCCGTAACTGTGTCAGCAAGGTTGGGGGGCGGCTCCCTTCTCCGTCCGTTGTCCACACCCTCGTTGCTGACCGAGCCACACCCCCTTCCATGGAACCTCCAACTGTCTGTCTATCACCTGCCCTCCACCCCCACCCCCCCCAGACACGCTCCACCCTCGCCCCACCCTACTCCTGTTCACCTGGAGTTCCTCGCTTTGCCCTTTAGATCTGGCTTTCCGAAGATGATGTCACTTCATGAGCGCGCTCCAATGCCGCTTCCTCTGAAAACGCTTCCTGACCCCCCCACCCCCGTCCTCTGAACCACCGCAGCTCCCTGTCTGCGCCTCGGGGACACCCAGCTTTCTGCTCTGGCCGGCGTCGCCGTCACGCTGTCCCAGAGGCCCACGGGACGGGGGGGGGGGTGTAGGGGGGGAGGTCAGGCGGAGCTCCTCCCTGCTCTGGCTCTCGGGGTGGGGGCTGCGCGACCTGGGTGAGGGGAGGGAAGGGTGCGTGGAGGGCGGGTGTCGAGTTGACAGCTGACTGCGCCCCGGAACGGCAGACGGGCCCCCGAGTGTCGGTGGGATGGCGGTCCTTTGGACAGACGGGCCTACAGAATGGAGAGTGTGGGCGGGGGGGGGGGCACGGATGGCGGGAGGGGCCAGGGGTGGGCGCCCAAATGGAAGGACAAAGGGCTAGAGCGATGGGTGGAAGGAGGGGAGGCAGGGGGGGTGGGGGGTGAGGAAGGAAAGAAGGAAAGAAGGAAGCAAGGGAGGGAGGCATCCAGCTGCCCAGGCAGAAGGACAACGCCCGGGGGCAGGGGTGGGCCAGGAGGCTGACGGCCCCGGAACTCTGAATGGGACAGGGGAGGACGTGTGGGTTCTCACCCACAGGAAGTACTGCTCCTCGTAACCAGAGGCTCAAGGTTTTCCGGTGGCCCGAGGAGAGAGACCAGGCGCCTGTGGGACCCGGGCATCAGAAGGACCGTCCTGCTCAGCTCCTCTAAGCACGTGGGCCGACCCGAAGCGCCAGGCAGTCGGGGGGTGCTCCGTGACTATTCATTGGAAAGTGACGGATTGATCTTGGGGAGCTGCCACCCGAGGGAGCGTGGCCGGCTGGAACCTCGCCCCTTTCACACGCCAGAGTGTGCTCGCTCTCTCTCGCGCGCTCTCTCTCTCTCCCTCTCTCTCTCTCTGCAGCAGGAAAGCTCCATCCTGCTGCACCTGCCCCCCATGTGTGTGCGTTGACTGGAACCCACACATTGGAGGGGCCCCGGAGCCCCGGCCTCCCTTCTGGAGCCAACACCCCTGCGACAAGGAGGTGTGGCCTCCTCTCACCCATCTGGGCTCAGAACGTGACAGACACGAGGCTGGCTCAAGTCAGCCCGGGGCAACTTGAGTGGTGACCTGTCCCCGGGAGTCATCTCATCGGTGAAGCCAGAGAGACCCCAGATAGAGGACCCCCCCCACACACACAGAGTGGATGGGAGGCTGGGGGACCAGAGGTGTCCTCTGCACCAGGTTAGGGGGCCGTGGGGACACAGTCCCTTTCCGGTAGGCGTGGACCACAGACACGCTCAGGGGCCGCAGGGAGGTGCCCTGAGCCTGCACCCAGCCTGTGAGCTCCCTCTGGCTTCCGGGTGCAGAGTCTCCCCTGGGTGGCTGGGAGCTGTGGCGTGCACAACCCCAGGGGGCACCCTTCGCCCAAACCATAGGAAAGGGGGGTGCGTTTCAAAGCTTCATCATGTGTGGGGGGCGGGGACGGGGCTGTGTTTCCCCGAGGGTACACCTGAAAGGCACACAGAAGTCCCTCACACAACGCCGTGAACTTGCGCTGTTAATGACACTCTCCACCTCCTCCGTCGGACCCCACCCCGTGAGAGTGCAGGTGCAGGGACCAAGGAGGGCGGTGACCTCACTTCTGCCTCACCTCGGAGCCGTTCCCTGAGGGTCAGCAGCCCGAAACGAGCCCTCCACAAATGACCATTGCCGGGGAGGAAAGATGGAGGACGTCGGGCGGGTTGGGCTCAGTCCTGCCACGCAGGGGTGCGGGGCTCCCGCCCGAGGAGAAGGAGAGGAAGGGCGCCTGGACGGTCGGTCCCCTCGTCTCCGAGGCCCGCTGCAGCCGCGCAGTGGCGCCCTCCCATCCCCTCGCGCCCGCAGCCCGTAGGAAAAAAAATAGAAAGAAGACGCCAGTGTGGCTCGCTTGACTGAGTCCCTACCTCTCCGGCCACAGTTCCCTCCAACTTATGTTTCATTTCCTTGGGTCTGATGATCCACTTAATTCAAAATGCAAATTCCATGTCCCGTGGGCCAATGGCCCCGAGCTCCGCTTCACAGGGCAGCAAGCAGCTGCGGCGCCGAGTGAGTCACCGGGCCTCTGGCGTTCAGGTCTCTGCTCCTCACGGTGGCGACGGCCTCCCAGAGGCCTCTGGCGGGTGCAGCCTGCGTACCCACCAAGGCCACACCTGAGTTCGCCTCTGAGGGCAGAGTGCTCTGGAGTGTTCTATTAACCAGGGCTGGGGGCTGGGGGCAGGTGGGCCAGGAGGTTAATGCCAGCCCCAGGGGCCATGCTGAGCCTAGCTGGGCCAGACTGGTCTGTCTCAGGGGCAGGCTTGGGCAGCCCCAGACAGCCTGTGCCTGCTCCCATGATTCAGGAGCCTTGGCCCTGGCGGGGCAGAGAACTTCACCACCGCTCAGGAGGGAGCTGCCTTCACCCAGCCCTGAAACGTAACCTTGAACCCTCCAGGGTCTGGCCTTGGAAGGGCAGCCAGTGTCTTCCAGAGGCTGGCTTCCTTGTGCCCCAGGTGGTCCCAGAGCTGCCCCTGGGCCACAGAACAGGCCCCTCTGTCTCCCCAGGGGAAGTGAGGGGCCGCTCACTGCCCCCTGGGTACCCCATTGCTGGAGCTCCCCGTGCCCCTGAGGACAAAACCAGCAGCAGGGTAGGAGGGACCAAGGGGCAGGGGACCTGCAGCGTGCCCGAGAGTTTGAGCACCTCCCTTCCCAGGGTTGGGGGATCCTGGCTTTAGGAGAATGGGGGGGCAGATGTGTCATCCGGTGGAATGAAGAATGGGGGGCGTCCCAGGGGGTGGGGCGGCGGCCATGCTGAGGAGGTCCAGGTGAACCTTTGGGGGTGGCGCGTACCCCTGGCCCTGGAAGTCAGCCCCGGGCTCCCTGAATCATCACGATCCCCACGCCTGCGCTGGGCCTCTTTAAGTCCCGGTTCTAAGCCCCACCCCACCGCCAAGAACCACACGGCTCAGACCTCAGGGCAGGTGAGAGGTGAGGGGGACTTCTGTGAGGCCAGGCAAGGCTCTCCGGTACAGCTGGGGAAACTGAGGCTCGGGGAAGAAGGGCCTGTCCCCTGGCCACGCCAGGAGTCTAGCTGCTGTGGCAGGCACTCATTTCACAACCCAGCACCCATTCCTCAGGCTTCCGCCACTTAAGTGGGCGCCCTGCACACTGGAGCCCCAGGGTCCAGGCCCTCCGCCACCTGGTGACGTGAGCCCGACCCTCCCTCCCTACTCTGGCCTGTGTGAGTTTCCTGATGCACTGTCAGAGCTGGGGCAGGGGTCCTGGCCTCCTGCCCCTGGGGTCCTCCCCTCATGCTGGGGACCGGCTTGGGCATCAGCCCCCGGGACTCAATGCCAGTGAGCTGCCTGCAGCCTGGGATGCGGGGCTCTGGGCGTCTCAGTGCTGCCACCTGCTGGCCTCTGGCCGTTGCAGGCGTCTATGCTCCGCCTGTTTGTCCTCTGGGGCTCCGGGATCACCCACAGATGGTCACTGGCCTTGACACTGAACCCCACAAGGAGAAAGCCTGTCCCTTTCCCCTGAGGCTCCCTGGTTCTCTTGGGGACAGCATCTCAGTGGGCTGCCTCTGCCCCAATGTCTCCTTCTTCCCTGGTCTCCCCTCTCTCTTTTTTTTTAAATATGTTCCTTGATTTTAAAGAGAGGGGAAGGGGAGAGAGGGAGGGACATCAGTGTGAGAGAGAAGCACCGATCAGTGGCCTGCCATACGCGCCCCAACCAGACCGGATGGGCCGGGGATGGAACCCGCCACCTTTGGGGGCACAGGGAGCGATGCCCCAACCAACCAACCGAGCCCCCCGGCCAGGGCTGGCCATCCCTTCTTGGGCAAGGTGGACGCAGGCTTCCAACCCAGAGCCTTCGGCAAACAGCTGGCTTCTAACACGCATGCAGACACAATCCTGTCTTCACCGTATTCATTCTTTTCCAGAACGACTTCGTGGCGCTGTAACTCCCGTGCCGTAAATCCACCCCCTTACAGGGTACAACTCGGCGGTTTTTCACGTCATCACAGGGCTGAGCGGCCGCGGCCCCAATCTAGTTTTAGAACATTTTCGTCACCCCCAGAAGAAATCCTCTTCCCGTGAGCAGTCACAGCCCGGCGCCACCACCCCCTGACCCCTGGCAGCCTCCCGTCTACCTTCTGTCTCTGTGGCTTTCCCAACACGTGGCCTCTCGTGTCTGGGTGAGTGCTGTGTTTGTGTGGTCACCTTAGAGGGAAGGCTGGCTTTTCACTCGTTAATGGGTGGAATGCGGTGCTTCCTTCTCAGGCAAATCTCTGTCAGTCGACCCTGATTGCGTTCTGCCTCGGGGAACTGATTGTTTGCCCCGGTTACCTGTTATCCACCGGAGCTGGGGAGTGCAGCCGGCATCCGGGAAGCACGGGGCGGATTCCGTCATCCCAGGGGCTGGGGGTCCCTTTGTGGCTGGTCCTCTGATCTGGGGGACTTCTCCTGTCCCTCCTCTCTCCAAAGCCCCCGGGCCCCCGTGCTCCCTCCTCTCTGGCTGGTCTCGAAACCCCCACTGTGGGGACGGGAGATGGAGCCACGCGTCGTCTTTGCAAACACACCGCCAGGGCCTCTAATCAACAAATTCGGAGGGACAGCTGCGGTCCCAGCTTCTTTTCCCCGTCGTTTTGTCCGGAAGCGTAATTGACAACGAGTTTAATTATGCAATTAAAGTCATTTTCCTGGTCTGAACAAATATTTACAGCGTACTCCGCTGCAAATTGCTTTGCCTGGAGACAGGTTCTACCACTGGGGCTGGCACGCTGGGCTGATGCATGCGTTCATACCCCCCCGGCCCCCAGTACCAGGCGGCCACACTGGGCGAGCAGGTGGCAGGCCAGCGAGCCCCCGGGAAGGAGCGTCCCTGCGGAGACGTGGCAGGTGTCGGCCAGGCAGACAGACAGATGCGCTCCCACTCCCGCCGCCTGGCTTCGTGGAACAGGTGAAGCACCCCGGGGTGCTTCGGGGGCGGCGGCCCCTAGCCCCAGCTCTGCCGCGTCAGAGCAACCTCTGGGCCCCGCCGGCCCCGCGGGGGCGCAGCTCGGCCCTAACCCTAACCCTAAGCCGCATCCATCCCACACGCCCGCTGTCTTCCTGTCGTCTGGGCGATGGCCCGGGAGCCGTCCTGAAGGAGAGCAAGGGCGGAACCTCTCTCCCAGGCCCCGCGGAGCTCCGCTTCCTGTGGGAGCCGGGGCGGGAAAACTCCAGGCGGAACTTCAGAACTGCACAAGAAGCCGCTCTCTTTTCCTCCCTCTGAAGCTCGCCTCCCTCTCAAGCCCGGTCTCTCCCCTGGGGGGCGGGGGGGGGGCACTGACCCAGGTTCCTGGGCATGGGGCGGGGCCGCTGACTCGGGTTTCTTCACTCACAGGCGCGCTCTCTGCCTGCCAAGCTCTGCGTGTGCGGCAAAGCTCTGGGTGGGGTGGGGGGGCTGATGTAACATCAGGCACTGGGGTGGGGTGGACAGGAGCGACCTGTTTTTTTGAGACGACCCAGGGCTGGGTTCAGAGCCCCTCCGCTGTGCGGGGAGGTCTGGGGGTCCCGGGAAAGGACCTGGGATGTAAAGTGGACGAGGCAGGGTGGCAGGGGGCAGGGGCAGCGGGCATCCAGCGGCGGGGTGGGTGGGGGGTGATTTCAGCTTCTCCCCTCCAGCCCCCGCCCTCTGTTGAATGTCAGCCCTGAGTGGAGTGGGGGGCTGGTCCTCTCCCCGCCTTGCTCTGGGTGGCTGTGCCCTGGCCTCTGGGGCCAGGGCGGGCTGGGCTTACACCTTCTCAGTCCCGACCAGCCACATGCACGCACGTGCACACACACACACACACACACTCATGCACGCAGCCCTGCGCACAGCAGGGGGGGCTCTGAGGTTTGGCCGCAACTGGAAAGCCGGCAGGGTCCCCGCCCAAACGGTCGAGCCTGCCCGGCCCCATCCAGGCTCCCTGCTCAGAGGTGCTCCGGCATCCCACCCCCTCTCCCCACCCTGCTGAGCTCGGGGACCAGCTGCCCCCGGAGAGAAGCAAGGTGATGCCTGGCAGGAGGCAGGGCTTGGGGTCAGCCTGACCTCTGTCCCCGCTCCCCGTGGCTCAGGCTGCTGGTGAACCACGGCCGGCAGCAGGACCTCTCTGGGCGGGGCCTCCTCTGCGCACAGTGGGGGCGACCTCAGCTGCCGGGCGCTCCCCTGGGGAGGGCCCACCATCGGCCTGAGCAGGGTGGGCCCTGTGTCCCGGAGGGTGGGCTCGCCCCCTTCCCTCGGCCAGCACCCCCGGCACCGCGTGGCCCCTGGCGGGGGGCATCATGTCCGGGTGTGGACAAAGTGGTGGGAACACACACGACCTTCCTGGGATCAGCAGTGACACCCAGGGCGGCTGTGCGAGGCAGACGCCCGCCCCTGAGCCAGGGCTGGTCCCCGGTGGGCCAGCTGCGTGGGGGGCCGCGGGGCCCCTGTCTATAAATGTCGCACCATCACATCCCTTCTGAAGATCCGGAGAAAAATAAATGGGAACCGCTGTCCCCACGGGCCCCGCTGTGGTCGCGGTCCCTTACGTGCCTCCCCTCCCTGCGTGTCTGCTCCGGCCCTCCCGAGACAGGGCGGTTATTGCGCCCAGCGCACAGCCGGGGGCGCTGAGGCTCGGGGTCTGTGCAATCGCTGAGCGCTCAGCCCCGCTGGAAGAGGGGTCTGCGCCGGTGGGACATTTCACTTCATCCTCCCCTGACCCCGGCAGGGACACGGTCACCCCATGGCACAGATTGGAGTGTCACTCCAGGTGACGCTGCTGGCCAGAGGCGGCACTGGGACGTGTCCAAGGCCACCGGTGTTTACCACTGCTCTCCCTGCCCCCCGGGAGTGCAAGAGGGCAGGAGGGAGGGAGACGTGGCCGGCCCTTTCCCTCAGATGCCCTCACTGGTGCCTCGTTACTGCCACTGGTGACAGACAGCGACCTGGAAGCAGAGGTCACCGTTGTGGCTCAGGGCCCCTGGCAGGGTCAGGTCAGGGGCCTCCAGGGCCCGTGCCCTGTGGTCTTAAAGCCCCAGAAGGCGCACCCCAGCGGGGGCCCACCGGCCCGCCAAGCTCCCCGACACCCCCGGTGAGCGCAGGGCGGGCTTGCTGCCCTGGCTCGGTGTTCGCCGTGTGCGGGCCCAGTCTGCCCTTTCACCCC